CCACCCCCCCACCCCCCCGAATCCCGAGTCCTGGTGTCTACAATAATTAACAGTGCCCAGAAAAGTGAAGTAGTAACCAGAAAGACTTTCCAGCGCTGAAGAATTGCTTTGCTGCCTTGAGCTTTGGAATGAATCCATGCTTTTTATGTAATATTTCACTAAGGTGCTTTTTGTTGCTGGTGGGATTTTTTTTCCCCTTTCCCTTTTCCTTTTTTTTTTTTTTTTTAAGCCTGTTTCCTTCCAGCCAGTTGCCATGGGTTTCCCTGTCTTGTCCTAAGCTTTTGAAAATATATATCCAGAAGAGTCTAAAGAAAACAAAAGTAGATAAAAAAATGTAAAACACTTACCGATCATACTTCCAGGATTTAGAGGTTTTTTTTTTTTAATTTTTGATTTTAATAAGGTGACAGGGGGAAAAAAGCATGTTCTCAACTCCAGCGAAACGATCCATGTTAAGATTTTCCTTTGCACTGACTCCACTAAGCCCCGCTCTCCACTAGTCTATTATTTTCACCAAAATATATGAAAATTTATGCAAATGAAAATCAGCACTAACTGTTCTCCCCTTGTTATACTTTGGATTTTTTTCCAGACAAAACAATCACACTCTGCAAGGGAGGGGGTGGGAAGAGTTGGGGAACTAAGTTGTTGTGGTTGTTTCTTTTTTTTTTTTTTTTAAATAAAAGACAGTGCTCCAGCTCGAGCTTCATTTTTTGTTGTCGCTGTTATGAGGGTGTACATTTTTTATTTTTTTTTTTATTTTGGGGGGATTTCTTCCCCCCCCTCCTCCCTTTTTATTAAGAAAGTAGATCTGTTTGCAGAGGCGCTATCACGTTTCATCAGGCCACCTGAGACGGCTTTTGAAAGCGTGTACTGTGAAATTCATAGCAGTAATTTAGACAAAATCCTCACTGTATATTAATGAAAGACGGCCCCATGGCACCGTTCCTATCCTCCCCATTCAGTGTAAACAAAACCACGAGACTCACTCGGTTTTTGAGCCTGATCCAAGCAAAATCGGCTGGAAAGGAAAACATGGGGTTCTGGCACTGACTATTCAAACGTCTGCACCTGGAGATCTCAGATTTATTCAATGAAATCTGTGTTGGATCTTTTATATATAAAAAAGAAACCTTTGGAGGACGCATGGGAACAAAAAAAAAAAAATTTAAAAAAAAATCGTTATGTTTGGGGTTTAGTTACCAGCGCCCTTCAGATCCGTACGCGACACTTTAATGGTTTTTCTAAACGTACCTACCACGGTATTTTTTACCGTGTGAGCCGGGGGCTGCACGGAGCCCTGAACACCGGCTGCCGGGCGGGCGGCGGGGCCGGTTCCGCGGGCGCGGAGGGGCGCGGATGGAGGGAGGGCGCCGCAAGCGGGGACGCGGC